AGGAAAATAATTTCACTGTTGGGCAGAACAGTTTACTCTGTAGATGTAACTGCATAATTGAGTACCAGCATGAACTAAGATTTCCTTTGCACCACTCATTCAAGAAGGGAAGGACAGCTTGGTTTTGATCAACTAATTGAAATTAATGGATTTGAAGATTTTCAGAATCGTGCTCTTAATTAAAGCATTCAATATGTAATGCTCACAGCTAGTCAGATACCATTCTAAAACCTGTGTGTATTTATGTTTTAAGGCACAGCTCAGGTGTCAGAGTATTGTCACCTGTCATCAATCTCCCAAGAGTTTAACTGTATGCTGTCAGCAGCTCAATTTCAGTAATAGTTAATCCTAAAGAATTTTAACAAATTTCCAGGAAGGAAGGTGGCCTCTCCCCCTACTTCTTGTCTTTTCTGCCCCCATTGTAAAATAACCAGACTAAAATTTGAAGATAACACATGGAATCTTGACCTAATAATACTTAGTGATTCAAGCACTTTGTGGGTTTTTTTTGCCCCCTCTCTCTGTCAAATGTGTACCCTCTTTCATTGCATATGTTCCTGTTGACTCCATATGGAATACAAATACCTGGCTGCCGTTTTCATGGTCATTCCGTATTGCATCACGTAAAACTACTTGCATAGCCTCTTCAACCTAACCTTGCAGTTCCAGCCAAAAATCTCGTCTTCATTCTCTGCAGTTCTTGCATCGCTTTCAAGCCATTTCATTTATGATTAGCTGGTCTTGGCTCTTTTACAGCAGTTCATCTGACCAGTTTGGTGATAGTGCTGGTATGGCAGCCCTCAGTGTTCTGCTCTGACCATTTTAACCACAAAAGTGGTTTCTTGAACTGTTTTTGGTCTCGTTCTTCCTTTGGCAAAGTGTGAAGTTTTGCTTTGCTGTGCTTTGCTGTCAGTCTGTACACATGAGAAACAAAAGGACTCTAACCTAGGGAATGGTTTTCCAGTATTTCTAATAATAAATGGACTTACATCCGTTACACTTTACATGCTAGTGTAAAAAGTAGATTGGATAAGTTCGATGGCCCCAAGGCATCAATATGCAATTTATTTCAGTTCGTGCTAACATTGTGTAGTTTTGATTACTTAAGAGAGCAGTTGATCCACATGCAACAGGCATGTTAAATTGTTTCAGTTGAGCTCTGATATTTCTACTAGGACTTGAGTATTTCCTCTGGAAGGGAGGAGAGTGAAGATGAGCCCAGTATGTACTTCCATAGTTTGTTGTCACAGAAGGTGTTTTCATGCCAATGAGAATTTCTCCTGAAGAGTTAGAAGTGCTACAGTCATGGCATGTATTAATGTACACTGGCAAAATTGAATGCTTGGCATGAATACTCTGCATTTTGAGCTTCCTCCCATATCGGAAAAGTCTCTCTTCAAAGACTGGTATAAATACAAAATGAGGGAGCTTTGAGTTATGACTTTCATCTAGTAGAACTACTTTTTAAATTACAGCAGTTAACTTTTTTACTAGTTAGTCTGAGAGCAAGTGTTAGTGAGGAATTGAGAGAGAAGTGGAGCACAGGTAACATCATTGCCCACTCGTTTTCTGTAGCTGAAGCTTTATCTTTGAGTCCATGTGCCATAATGTCCTTTAACTGTTTGGTATTTGCTTACTTCATAGCAAGCAGTTCTCCTTCAGTAACCACAGTCTCTTGGTTGACCTCATGTTATTTTGCGTTTTGTCATAGTTCTTGCCACTTACCAGTATATTCCTCTTTATAGGTTAGAGCTCCCAAAAGCAAGTGTTATACTTTAGGTGTCATCTGTCTCTCTAGTCTTACTATGGAATAACATGATCTAGATGATCTAGTTAAAATTCACTGTTGAATAGTTCTAAGATATTAATCATTATGCCCCTGCTCATTCCAGAATATATGAGACATCATATATGGCCCATCATTCCCCATATAGCTGGTGATGTGCTGCCAATGCCACCTTCACGTGGATGTCTTGCAGAAGGGCAAGGGGTCACCTCTGATGCCCATTGCTCTTACTCCAGCATGGATCTCTGTTGATACTTGGATGTGTAGAAACGATTGTGCAGCAGCGGAATTGCACAAGACCAGGGTGTTTGGGAGAGCTGCTTAGTGCAAATAAGGCCATTTGCCTGGATCTGGGCTGGCAAGGAAGCACCTCCACACAGGCCCTCACTGCTGGGCTAGCTGCCTGTGTGCCCTGCTGTGGGCTCTGGCTTCCCAGGAGTCGGGACGTGGAGGCTGAGGCATGATGAGAAGTATGAGATGGATGTGACTCGGGTAGAAAGCAAGGGACAGAGTGCAAAGGTGACTGGTGGGAGCACAAGAGGCAGGCAAGCGGTGTGAGTGGCAGATGTCTGTGACACATTCAGACTGCGAAACAAGCATTTGGTACAATGTGTTTGGAGAAAGTCTGACAGTCCTGTGGAAGGTAAAACACTTCCAGAAAACTCTATCTGCAGTTAGTACTTCTAAAATGGACTATAATCTGACCAAGTCATCACAAATGCTACAGTGATGTGGTCCTTCATAAGAAGGTAAAGTTAGTAATGTAAATAAGAATAGGTAGCAAGATTTGCTTCCAGTCTTTGTTACTGTTCATGACCCAAAGAGCAAACTGTCCCTCTGGGGACAAACAAAAGAAACTGAACCTGGGAAGTCCTGTTAAGTGATCTCCATTTCCCTCAGTACAAGATGACATTTGTGTCATGTTTTATATCCCCAAGTACTGAGGCACTTCAGGCTTCCTTCCAGAGTTGTCTCAGATGCCACGACTCACCTGCAGATAGAGGGATTTGATCACTTTGGCATTTTTCATCCATTCTGTTCTTCACACTCCACTGGCATTCAAGGAATGGCATGACTAGGGCAGGACTGAACAAGTCCAGCTAAGCAGCCGCAGTCCTGTCACAGGACCTTCTTGACATAATCAAACTACATCTTCTCACCTCAACAGGAGCATCGTCGATACCCCCAGCACCGCCACCGCCACCCCTGCCACCAGCAGCTCCTCCTCCACGTACAGAGGTGCCAACGCAGCCACACCCGCAGCCTGATGTCAGTGCAAGCCGGGGAGCCTTACTCAGCTCCATTCAAAATTTTCAGAAAGGAACTCTGAAGAAAACACAGACGTGCGACTACAGCGCTCCCAGGATCAGCTGAGGACACTGGTCACAGCAGGATTGAATTTCCTTTCCCCCTCCTGTGCTGTCTAGGAACAAGACCTTCCTGACGGGCGACTGATCCACCAGCATATAGCAGCTAATCATGCTGTAGCTCCGTTTACCCCGTTTCAGTTTTCCTTGAGTAGCAGCACTGCCCTGTCTGATTTGCATTGCCATGCTATGATAAGTACTCCATTCTTTACTTGGTTTCAAGAACTTTGTTCTCTAACTGCAGTTTCAGGGGTACAGCAACTTCTATATAGCTGAATAAAAATCTGAAAATAGGAATTACTATGATCATGGTGAATTAATGCATTTTTTTCTAGCTCTATTCCACCCCTTTTTTTAAATTACAGGAATGTAGTTTTAGTCTGCTCAGTTTTTCAACTCTTTTCATGCACTTGTAACTCATCTTAATTCTTGCTGCATTGAATCAGCAAGTTTTGTTTTACATAATCCAACCCCACCAACCCTTAAAGCATACTGCACAGGTGAGGGAGCAGGAGAATTAAATCTTATTCCCACCATATTTGCTGGTGGAGTAAAAATGCTGTCTCAGTAAATTTGTTTAAATGGACATCCTACCTGTAACTCTAAGGGAAAGTGTTTCTAAATGAGGAAACAGTTGAAATGGGAGTTAATAGGGCACTGGGATATTATTCTTGATTTAGTTAAATGCAAAATTACTTCAAGTTAATTCTGCAGCTTAAACTTTATTGAAGATCCTTTTTGATTTAAAACCTTAAACAAATTGCACTTTAAAGGATTATAGATAATCCATTTTTTAAATTCAAGTACATCAGTGTTTGTTACTATGCAGAGAATGTCTGTACAAAGTTTCATGTAACCTGTGATATTCAGTCATTTTTATTAAAACGTTAATGGAATTCCTTCAGCAGTGTGGTGGTGGGTACATTCAGCTAGGATTGCACCTGCAAGCCAGACTTTCTAAGAACCTAACAGCACTTCTGCTAAAAGGAAATACCCTGAAAGGTATTCCTGGCCCTTGACTGAAACAGGACCCGAGTTCTTCAGCCTGCTTACAGAGGTAAGTATCTCTTCTCCAAAACAGTTCCTGGGAAAGGCAGCCCAGTCGGAATATAGGGCAAGCCCCACTGCGCAGGCTCCTAAAGGCAGCTTTCACTCTGTACCAGACGCTGCTGAACAGAGCCTAGTGGAGCCCTCCCCACCTGTCAGGACTAGCCTCCTAGATAAACCCTGGTATGTGGGCATCTGTGAAAGGCTGCTGCAACTGTTTCCCAGCTCTTCAAACACTATCTACACAACTGCTGCTTCAGACCCAGGCTTGGTGCATCTGAATAACTTAACTTACTTTGCATAGTTAAGAATTATAGTTTGAGCATGCTGTTGTTAGCCCCATGTGATGAGTTTAAAAAAAACCAAACAACAAAGAACATAGAAGCAAAACTTCTGGGCAAGTATCTTTTTTATCATTGTATGTGGCAGCTAGTGAAGAAAAATTAAGAGGATCAGGATCTTTATTTAAGCTCTTGTGCAGAAGCTTTCCTCTGTGACTGGATGCTCTTCAAACTAAACACATTTAGCCACCTCTTAGCCCATACTGCAGGCTTCCAAAGCCACTTTGTGCAGATAGTTGCACTGAACTGTTGAACTTGAAAAGCAAGGCTTCATACACCCCAGTCTGAGCATTCACCTTTAGTAAGCCTTGCACCCATGGGCTCCTACAGCATTCCAAGGCTGGACTCGGCCCCCCTTGCTCACTGCAGTTCCTCATTCAACCACCCCTACAGCCAGTTTAACACAGCTAGTCTGGTAATTACAAGCCAAGCAGAAATGGAAGATTTTTTCCTCACTCTGAATTTAGAATAGCATTTCTTCACATACAGTAGCACTAACCCACCTGTACTGTTGAACAAACAAGTATTACCACATTGTTGCTTATATGAAGTGTGGCTTAGAGGGTAACCCCATATAAATACTCTGGGAGGTCACTATACTTTCCCCACTGTACAAAAGTTCATGTAACTATACAACAGAAGTTATGCGTACAACTTGCCCTATACCATTAATACTTTATAAAGCAGGACTTTAAAACATGTATTTACAACTTAGATATTCAAAGTTTTCTTCACTGCAAATATTATATCCTTCACTTGAGGTATGCAGTTATCTTCTAGAATTTTTGCATAGGGCATAGGAACATCTGCACCGGTAACACGCACAGCTGGAGCATCCAAGTAGTTAAAGGCAGATCCTGAAACAGAAGACAGCTGTCAGGTTGCCATGCACTATGGTTTTCTCTCAGTTCAATTTCTGAATCTTAATCTATTTAAACAAATTTGTTCCTGTAGCTCTAATATTCCAGAGACAGCTGTTCCTGCTTGTTTATCTTTATAGACTATAGTTTACACAAGTTTTCAACCTGCTTCTCACAGTCAGGTTCCTGGGATAAGAATTACTTGCAACAGAAGATGAGCTGGATCCACCCTGTGAAAATCTCCAAAGCAAGACAGCTAGGCTCAAGCTCCTCAGATATAAAACCTAACTTTGCTTTCATCTGGCTTCATCAAGAAGTTGTCCGGATTTAGACTAGGGGATGAGATCAACATGTGTATGCAAAACTCAGTACCTTCCATGATCCTGGCACAGATTTCAGCTCCTACTCCAAATTGTGGCCAACCTCCTTCTACAGTTACAAGATGGTTTGTCTTTACAACGCTGGCTTCCACCGTTTCAATATCCATTGGTCGGATGGTACGTAGATTTATAACCTGGAGAAAAAGGGACAACATGAGTTTTGCTGCGATCTAAGCCTGTTGGTTACCACTGTTAGGGTACAGTGTCCTTTAGCACTTTCATCTATTCCAACTTTGAAGACAAGACTTAAAATTAGTAACATTTCTAACTTTTTATTCTGGCAGAGACACTGCAGAACGGTTTCTGGTGGCTGCTGGAAAATCCCAGATAGGTGAGTCTTGCTATATTGAGATACAACCATACTAATACATACTGTCATTGTTCTGCTTACCATGCAGCTAGGTCAATCTGAAAATTGTTAGTAGTTCTGCCTTAATTTTGTGATGAAAAGGTCAAAGGCACATGCTGTTAAGGCGTTTACAAATGTAAGAAGCTTGTAGTTAATACACTGAAGTTTTGCAGAGCCTGAGCGAGAAAACCCTCTGCTTTTTTCCCCAGTTCAGGGAAAGAACAGAAGCCTCACCCACCTCACACTCTACACCTTCTTTGGCAAGTACAGCAGCTGCTTCCAAACAGTGTCCGACAGGTCTTGAGTGTGACACTAATGTAACATGAGTTCCTAGAACAGAAACAAGTGTCAAAAAAGAAAAAAAACCCCAAAACCAAAACACCTTAAGATTTAAAGCTTTTCTCTGGACCTTGGGCTCCTTTCAAGGTAACACTAGGATTCTCTTGTACATTTAAGTTCCTTACATTTATTTGAAATGTGAAGTATTCTATGCCCACACATAGCATGAAGGGTGGTAGCAGGACTATGTGAAGGTGCAACTTTACTCTTTAATTCAGTGAACTGAGGAGATACTTAATATAGCTTTCAGATTATCCTTTTCAAGCATTCATATAATTCAGTGGTAAATTCTGAACAAACAGGCTGAAATATTACGGTGATCTGTGTTTTTGACAAAAATTACATACTAAGGGTGAGGAAAAAAGATTTCAGACATCATATATTCCATCTCTATACTAAGGAACAAATCTTTTAGAAAGGTATAGTTTTAGATGAGATACAGAGAATCAAGTGATTTTTCTTTATATGGGCAACAGAACATAAGGTTTGAAATACTTTTCTGTGCCCAGTGACAACAATATTTGAATAGCAAGAAGGCTAAAAAAAAAAAGTCCCCAAGTAGTTCAGCTAATAAGGAAAAAACCTGTGTTCTTGGCTTACCTTGCCTTTCTATTTTAGCTTTTCCAATTGGAACAACAAAATCCTTTGACTGTGCCTGTTCAGACATTTCAAAGGGAACACCATACAGTAATTCATTTTCCAGCATCACAACTAGAAGAAAACATACTTGGATTAACGTGTACAGCTGCAGGTGGGCGGCTGTGCTGATGATTAACAGTACTGCAGCAGACTAGCTCAGGATACTAAGCCCATTCAGGCGACAACGACTTGTGTATGTTTGCAGAAGCAATAAAAAAAAAATTAAAAGTAATCACAGTCATTAATTCAATACTGATTTATTTTAAAAAATTGTCTAAAATTAGTTTTAAATGAGATCAGATGTTTAACTTTTGGTACATGACGGTAGAATGGCTAGTTTTAGAAAGGTCTTAAATTTTGCGTGCATGTTTGTGAAAAATAAAGGTTGCCCTGCTTTTAATGACATTCTGAATTTATCATCTGAATTTCATGATCTGTAAAAAAAAGCTACACAGACATTATATGTGCAGGAACTCCTCCTGATCCATTTTCATCCTTTTTAACCCCTTTATGATAGAATCATAAATGCTTCTAAGCTCTCTAATTGGTTCCACACCAGCACTAAAGAGATGTAGCTGGTGACAGCACAAAATTAGTCTACTGCTAGCAAGGCAAGTGACCGTTAAGAAAAGAATAAATATTTCTGTGCCTTTGTAAGTACCCTAAAGCTGTAGTAAAGCAACCTTAAGTGTTTTAGGGTTGACAAAGCAGACATTCTTTTCAGGATCAAATACTAGGTATTGCCATGATCTGCCTGTGTTCACCTGGATTATCGTCCCGGATTGATGCTTTCAGCAGACCTTTGGCATCTTCTGAGCTCCAAGGACTAACAACTTTCAGTCCCGGGCAGTGCCCGTACCAAGCTGCGAAGCACTGCGAGTGCTGAGCGGCGACTCCAGCTGATGCCCCATTGGGGCCCCGGAAGACAATGGGAACAGCGATTGATCCTGCAGACATGTAACAGGTCTTGGCAGCGGAGTTTATAACCTGATCAATTGCTTGCATGGAGAAGTTGAATGTCATGAATTCACACACTGGTCTCAACCCTGCCTATTAAATATATTAAAATCAGGATGTTTTGTACATAAAAATAGTTTAAATGTTTAATTCAGAAGTAAAGGAGTGCAAATTTACAAACCATAGCAGCACCGACAGCAATTCCTGTGAAGCCCATCTGAAAGAGAATGAAACCAAGAAGGGTAAGCGCCAGGGGCATGGCTGATGAAGGAATCGGCAGGGTAGGGGACAGGAGCAGCCATAC